TCTGGGAGTTGAAGTCCACTCATCTTAAAGTGGCCAAGTTTGGACAACACTGGCTTAGACTCCTAAGAGGGGAATACGGCGGGAGGCTCATTAGAACTGCTGAAGGCACGTAGAAATTGCAAGAAAGCGCAGGAAAAGCCTTGCAAATAAAAAAAAGCTGCAAGTTAAAATATATCTGATGAAATGCGAGGGCTTGTAGACGCTCGTGACGGCCGTATGGCTTCACTATCCGCCATCATGTTGTTTCGTGCTTAACTGGGGAAGGTGATTTGCAGAAAAGCGGAATCTGTATGCGGATTTCTGTGGAAGCTACTTCCACGGCGTCTGCCAGATCCAAACGCTTGCCTGCTCGAAGCACAAACGTTTTCTGATAACTGCAGCACGAGCACATTGAATGTAAAGAGACGAAGCAAGAGACTTCCTCGCAAACCCTTATTTCCGTTATGCACGTGGATGCCTTTCTATGCGGGGGCAAACACCCTGTGCAAAATCAGGGGGCAGAGAGAAGCATCTTTGCTTCTCCTCCGGCATCCATATCGCATGTCCTGGGGCGAGATTTTAAGCAACTACGCTGAACTGAAGCTTCGAGAGTGCCCGGCTTTTTCTGCGCGCCGCTCGCCCCGCATATTGCCACATTCAGTTGGGAACCGGACATCTTAGAGAAGCGCTATGACGCCTGTGACTCTTGGAGTCCCAGAATTCTAAGTTCAGAGCCGAATGCCGGGCGGAAATCGCTGCCACAGATTCGTCAGCCGGAAGCCCGGGGAGACCGAAAACAGAAAGTCGAATCGGAAAACCCCGAGAGGTCCTTTGACTCGCCAAAGAGGGCCGAGCCCTGAGCGGGGAAGGCCGAGAGCTTCGAAAGGCGTCACTCGTCTCCACCGAAAGCAGCCGAGTGCTTTCGGAGAGTCGGCAAGTAGGCGGAGCTTGAGGGTGTAAGGCGGAAGTTGCCGACGTTCTTCCGGGAAGGGCCGAAGGGGGCTGTCCGTTGCCGTCCGACTTACACACGGAGCCCGCAATAGGAAAAGCAGCGGCGGCGGCGGCGCTCTGAGGCGGGGCTGCCCCGGTTGCTTGGCCCTTTCCCTGGCTCGCTCGCCTCCCCGTCTCCCTTCCGACCCTCCCTCTTCCTCTTCCCCCCGACCCGGCCTCCCCGCCCTCCCCGTCCCGTCCCTCTCGGCCGGCCAGGCCAGGCCAGGCCGCGGGAGTCGCCGTCCCCCCACCTCTCCCCCTCTCTCTTCTCTCAAGAGCCGGGCAGGATTGGGCCGGGCCTGGCTGCGGTAGCCACTGGGAGAGGTCGAGGCCGGGGCCGGAAGGGCGAAAAAACAGTCCGCCAAGCCACCAGCAGCCAGCCAGGATGATCAAGCTATTCTCGCTGAAACAGCAAAAGAAGGAGGAGGAATCGGCCGGCGGTACCAAAGGCTCCAGCAAGAAAGCCTCTGCCGCGCAGCTCCGCATCCAGAAAGGTTAGGTTACACACGGGCGGCCGTATTTATCTCTAGGGGAAAGAAACAGCCAGGCCGGTGAGGGCAGTGCTGCTACTGTTTCAACTCCCGTGCCGCTTGGAGCAGCTAGTATTGTTGGTACCTACGTCGATGAACGAGGGACGACAGGATTAAGACTTTGCCGCCCCCCCTCCCCCCGGGCTTGCTGTCCCAGTAGCCCCTGTTTATGAGCATCACGTTTTTTTCATTTTCGTATGGGCTAATTTCGATTTTTCTCAATATATGTATCTAGTGATCCTCATAGCAGCCCTTTAAGGTAGGCCAAGTTTGGGTAAGTCTGGCTGGAAAGCCCTTCCTGCTAGTGGCTGCTTGATGAATTCATGGCAAATCATTGAATTAGGGAGGTTCTGATTCCTTTTACTCCAAGAATTCTTTTGGATCTTAGGATTCTGGTTTTTCAGACTCACAAATCCAAGATAGTCTGGTTTTCTTCATAGGAGGAGTTACAAATGCTTGTGGATACCTGAAAACTTTCTCAAACTGTATTTTGCTGATTAATATTTTTTCTTGTCCTTCCTCCACAAAGTGTTGGCTATTGAACAACTCCATTTTTTATGCTTTATTACAAAAATTGGAGTTTGACTAGGCTATGAGGTGTTTTCTATTCTTCTGTATTGGACACATGCAGTGTTTTATAATTTCAAGAATCCTGCCTAAAATAACTCCTTTTCTCCTCTTTCAGAGTAATACATGCCTATAACTTACCATCTTTGTTACATTACAGTAACTTGATTGTGCCTTAATAGTTGCCAGTTCTTGTGCACATGCACATGTTTTGTTTAATTTTTGTAGGATATACAGTGAACCTGAATTTCCAACAAACTATCCTGGAACCGTTTTAGGAAGATGTCAGAAGAATACCATGAGACCGGATCAAAGTTGCCAGTTTATTTTCCTGTCTTGCGGTCAGGAAACTGTTGACTGACTTTTCCTCCCTTTTCTAAACATTTTCAGAGAAATGAATCACTTTTGAGCTGTTCATCAACATGAAGAGCAATTATATATTTTGATACGAGAATAGAGGCTTACTTCTCTACTGGTTCTCTAGCCAGCTGCCTTGTCCAAACTGACAGTTTCTTCTGCTTTTTCTGCCAGATATAAATGAACTGAATTTGCCGAAAACATGTGAAATAGACTTTTCAGACCAGGATGATCTTCTCAACTTCAAGCTAGTTATCTGCCCTGATGAGGTGAGTGGTGTGGGTATAGAAAGGAACTGAATACAGGGGATGGTGTTTGAATGGGATGTGCTATTTGAATCTCTGAGCCCTATAGTCATTGGGTTAAAAGACTGTGCCCAGTACTGGCTGAGTTTCTCTCTCCTCCCCTTTTGTGTTTTTCTCTGTGTAAGGGATGATTGATAGAACATGGTTTGGGGAAAAACTATCTACTTAATGAAAATAGCTTTAATCATCAGAGGTCTGATGGTAGCTGAAATAGTAGAGAGCAATACGTAGAATGGATGATAGTATCCTGGAATATTAGCTCTTGATGTTGCTCATAGCATCCTGCCATATTTCTTATTTATTTTTTATTTGTATCCTTAGCATGTCACTGCACCATAAATACTTATCTGCTGTGCTTTTCTTATATCTTGTTTTTAGGGTAATTGTGGTAAAAGATTTCCAAAAATTGCATATTTGCTATGTTTGAATTTTGAATGTACTTGTACAGAAGGCAGAGTGTGGCTTTTTTGATATAAATGGCTTTGGCCATACCACACAAATGTTTCACCTCTTTAGAAGCACCGGTCTTAAGTAGTGAATTATCTATAACTGGTTACTTTGGGTGGGGAGACTTCCTGAGTGGGATTATTCAGCAGGCCAAGATATCGTGTGATATTAACATTCATATCTGTACATATCTGTGGAGAAATGTTTTTACTTTTCTGCTTTATGCCCATCATTATTCCTTAAATCTGAATCTTTCACATTCTGAATGCTATCATTTTGTACATAGGCTAGCTCTGAAGGTAGGTGAAAATGTCTTAGCAAAATGCCTTATTCTAAAAGGGCGGGGGGAGGGTTGGCATGAGAAGAGGGTAAGGAGAACTTTAACCGTATTCTATTTTTAATCAGTCTGATATGATGACCTTAAAGCAGATATATACTACCTGAGTATATGTAAGCAGATACAGACATACATGTATTTCTGCTGCCAAACTTTATAGGATTTGAACTGTGTACAAACTCCTCTTCCCAGCTGTATCCTTTTCTAGCTTTTAGCATGTCGAAAGTGATAGCTTTCTTAACTATGCTCCTTGTGGTTCTTAATTCCATACATGCTCAGTGGTTGTGTTTCTTTTTCAAAGTACTGTTCAGTCTGATTATGGCCATGACAAACTTAAGAGAATGTTTTTTACTTATCTCTGAATTGGTATCTAATTGTACCTTGTCATGGTTAAAAGGTGTGAGATGTTAAGGGAAAAATAAAAATGTCAATCAACATAGGTTTCTTTGGACCTCTAAACAGAGATTCACCAGGTTGTAAGTGGATTCTGAAAGTCTTGGCTGTAGACCTTCTTGAGATCTCCAAAAATGATTACCATGTTGTAATTTTAAATGTGGCAGAAAGTGGAAACCATTAAATACAAAACGGGAGAGTAATTATTATCAACTAAATTTAATTCAGAGGGAAAGGTAATTTAAATTTAGTAGTTTCCCTGGTTGCACTCCCTACTTTTGGGGGAGCAACTTTCATCTTACCATCTGAAAGCTAAGTGAGCTTTTGGTCCACAAGAGTTACATATCCCGGCCATAGAGCACCGAATCTGGCACTGAATTTAGGTTCTGATATTATCTAGGAACCTATATTAGGTTAATCAAACTCTGTTTGCAATGGCCTCTTGATTACATGAATCATGAAACTATTGGCATCTGTAAGCATATGCTCATTATGAAGTGGCTTTTGCTATTGTGCTTATTCAAGGGAAGAGCCAAGAAGGTCTGCAAATTGCAATAGTGATTCACGTTATTTGAACATTATAGGAGGAAAGTTGCCTTGCAGTGGCTTGGCTACATTCAGATTGAGATTATGAGTCATAAGCTCATTGTTTCCTTCCACCATCTGGAACAGATGCCCAGAGTAGGAACCTAGCTGCTTTTGCAAGCACTTAGTAATGACTGGTACTGAGACTTAAAATATTTATTTATCATGTTTGTAAAGCTGCCTGACTCCATGATGACTCTGGGAAGTGTACAATATTAAAAACAAATTAGCGACAATAATAGGACAAAAATAGTAAATATCCTGAGAAAATAAAACCAACACCTTTTCTCAACCATACCACATTGCCACAAGGAACCTGCCACTCACCCTAACCCAAGGCCTGGGGGAAGAGCCAGGCTTTAAGGGCCCATTTGAATGAAGCCAGGGTAGGAGCAATGTGAATCCTACTCCCTGTTCTGGAGGGTAAGTGCTATGACACAGAAGGCACCCTTCCTGGGTCCCATCAGATGACATTGTTCAGTCGATGGGACCTGAAGTATGCCAGCTTTCTCAGCAAAAACAGGACTGTAGACACTCTAGGGTTATCCCTCAGATATGCCCTATACACCTTGAATTACATCTGGAAGCCTATTGGTAGTAACCAGTGCAGCTGGCAGCTGAGGTGTTAAAGGGACACACTGTGGCATGTCCAAAACTGAGTAGTCTTCGAAAGCAGCAATGTGCATAGAGCACATTGCAATAATCCACACTTGCAGTGTTCAAAACGGGAGTGACTGGAAGGCCTCCCAGTCCCAAAAGTACACAAGATGGGTCTGTGTGACAGCCTTCCTGGCCACAGCTGCTACTTGCTCCTTGAGCAGGAGCTATGAGTCTAGGAAACCCTCCCAAATTGCTCTCCAGTCCAGAATATTGAAGCACAACCCCACTGAAGACTCATGATGGAAAGTTTCCAGCTTTGCCTGATCCAAATACCCAATTTTTTTTGTTTACTTTTTTAGACAAGGTTTCTAGTCATCACAGATACTCAGAAAATGTTAGCAAATAAAGACTCTGTCCTCTTCTGAGTACAATGTCCTGCTTGTCTGCTATCTTTTTTTGCTTCTTTGCTTGCATAGATGCACCCAGCAGCCAAGAAATCCCCATTTTCCATGTCTTTTCAGCCCGTTATCACAAGTCAGAATTCTAGGTTGGGGAGCTGATTGTATTTCCAGAATTTGGGAGTGTGAAATAAAGAGATTTATGCTGAAGTGGCAAGCATCTGGGGAAGTTGATGGTTTGTGTTGAGGGGTTGGAAAATGAATTTCTTTGGTTTAACTTTAACACTGCTCACCTCCCATTCTCCCACAATTGAAATTTGTGAGAGTTGTTTCCTTCTGTTTGGAGCCAAACTTGCTTACACTGTCTAATGCTTGCCTTACAGGGATTCTATAAAGGCGGGAAGTTTGTTTTCAGTTTTAAGGTAAGCAATCTGTCTCTGTTCTCTATCTAAGACATCTAATGGGGCAATACTTTATGGCTTCTTTTGGCGCACAAAGTAACTTAATATGGATAATACCTTTCAGTGCATTTCAGCCATTCCCGTGTAACTTGTGTAGGAACACGTGGATGGATGGTGTCAGCATAAGAACAGTTTAATTCAGGGCAGAGGTTGGGAACTGCAGGCTGCCAGAAATCAAATGTGTTTGGGTGCTTCACTGTTTTCTATCTAGACCTGAATTGGCTTTTGCTCCTGGAGTGGGGAAAGTCTCTGAGCTTTTGTGGATTTTCAAACAGTAGATTGATTACTTTATGAGTAATTGTGCAGAATCCCAAATATGCCTGGAAATATGATAAACATGGGGGGGTCAACAGAGTTTGCCCTTGATTTTAATGGGTGTTATTGGAGTAAATCAGTTGCTGAGAATGAAACAAGTTTTGAAAATGGTAGTAATAAGGATAGTACTGAACTATTATGGAAGAGGGCAACTCTTGATGGTTACAGCCTGAGGCTCATTGAATCAGAGTTTCTGTTTATGGATCTTCAGAAATCTGAAGGATCTGTGTTTGAAAATCAATTGTTAACTAGAAATCAAAGAAATATCCATTCTGTGTTTGGAATATATTATACAGCACTTGAGATTTGTGGACTTTTGATAGTGGTTTGCTACACTTAAAAATCACTGTGCTTGAAGTGACCTGTCCAAAAAATGGCCCGAGGTGCAGATGCAGTAGTCAGTGACAACCACCTGTGTGATTTCACAACATTCTGCACAAATATGAGATTCTGCTATTATAATTCTTGTTTCTTAAAAAAATGCCTGAAGAAATTGCTTCCTTGCTGTATTGCATGACTGAAATATAGGCTGGCTGGCTGGCTTGCTAGCTATCGCATAGCCTTCTAATGATTTGGTTGTATAAGTTAGTCTATTCTCAGTATATACTTCATAGATCTGTACTGACATCCCAATAGCCTCAGTCTTCATTTAAAGAAAATCTAGTAATGAGGATTAATACACGTCTGAATACGCAGGGTGCTCAAAGCACAGGACAGCCGAAAATTGCTTAGATTTGACAATAATGCCAGATTTTTGTTCCTTTTATTTATTGAAGGAACTTTTGACAATCTTTCTAATAAAAAATGCTTAGGGTAAAATATGTATACACTTCCCTTTATGTCAAAAACAATTCTGAAAGCTTTGCAGCAAATGGGTTAAAATAATGCTAATGCAGAAAAAAAAAGGGGTGTGTAAGTTTTTAGAAAATCTTGTGTTTAATTGGAAATTAAGAAAGCAGAAAAACCTCATGCTATGGCTATGTCTACCCTTTCTTTGGCAGTTCTTAAGTTTACTAAAAATCTGCTCAGTGAGTCAGAACTGTTAGTAGAAATTAGGAAATTTTCTGGCTGTTAGAAGAGGAAGGAAGGGATCTAATAGTCAAGCTGGTTTCTGTTGAGAATTACATGGAAAATTAGTCTCTCCTTCCTGAGAACTGACAAAAAATGAAGAATAAAAAAACAGTTTTAAATAAGGTGATTGGGGGGAACACGTATGGGAAGGATCTTGGAAAGGTTTCAAAAATGTTTCAGTACTTCCTGCCTTTAGCACTAAGCAAGATTTGATGCAAAAATATGTTTTTGTAACAACTGCATTTTTATTGCATCCTTCCAAATTTTCAGGCTAGTGTGCATGGTTCATTATTTTACTTTATAGTTGTCATTTGGATCCTTGTCAGTGTTTGTACTTATAAGGATTTGGAGCTCATAATCTTAGCAACTTAATTATAGCAACTGTTTTCATATTGCCCTATAATCAAATTCTTCACACAAAGAAAACAATGGAATTAAAATAGCCATACAAAAAAATACTTCACATTTTGAAATCTTCCCAAGATTGAGTAGCGAACATCAATTATCTGGACAGGTTGCATAGTTCACGTTAATAGAGAAAACCAGAACTCCTCCCCTGTGTCCCCATTCTAGTTTGGGGCATTGTATACCTCAAAATATAATTTACCTAACCCTAACCCATTGAGATATGGCAAAACCCAAAATCTACTGGCAGGAAATTAGTGAAGAATAGGAAAGGCACAGATAGTTATGTCAATGGCCACATATTTTTGGCTGGTCACCTCTGAGTTTTTGCTGTGATTGCAGGAATATTGCATGTGCCATTATGAACATGAAAAAACTGACAGCTGTGTCTTTCTGTCTTGTATTTTATTTGCAGGTGGGGCAAGGGTACCCGCATGACCCCCCCAAAGTCAAGTGTGAGACCATGGTGTATCACCCAAACATAGATTTAGAAGGCAATGTTTGCCTAAATATCCTCAGGTACAAAGCATGTTCTGGTGTCCTAATACATTCTCTCTTCATTCTGATATATTATTTTCCTCCTTGGAGGATTTGAGGAAGTTTTAAGAACAAATGTTGGTGGAATTTCAAACAACCTATAAAATATTTTCTTTTTGAAGTGAGCGAAATGTTCTCTTAGGCAAGTTTGTATTCACTGACTGTTCAACTACATTAACTGAACAAAGCATGGTTCACGGATCATAGGAAATAAGGGGTGGGCAAATTCTTGCCTATGGACTTTTTCTTTGCAGCCCCCAGAGTCTTTTTTGACCACTATTGCTGAAAGTTGGTGGCACAGTTTCTCACCATCTTAAAGCAGGAAACACATGAAATTGTACTGCAAGTTCTACAATTTAGCAGAATTTAATCAACTAACAATGCTCCTAAAACAGTCCTCCCAAACCAAAGAAAAAATTAGCACCCCCCACTTGGCATCACTGCCCATCCATTGTGACCCTTGGTTTTCTCCAAAATGTTAGGTGTGACTTCCAGGTTTCAAAAAATTGTTCACCTCTGTGCTAAGCCATGAATTATGTTATGGCTGTATTCAGGTAACACAGTAAGGCAAAACCAAACATACCCCATTATGGTTTTCAGTCAGGCTGAATCTGGTGTCCCCAGCTCGTGTGGAACTGCCACTACCCTCATCTTCAGCCAGGATGGATTAGGGAAGGCAGTCTTCCATTCTAGCGCGTGTGTTTCTGAGCACCGACGACTTTATTTTTTTTTTAAGTAGTTGGATTTTGAACATATTTCTATTTTTTTTAATCCTGTTATGCCTTCATAATTAAAAGGGCGAGAAGAAAAAGAAAATCCTGAAAGAGGCTTGTCAAAAATTTTAGTCTTGGGATATTGTCAGTGGGACCATGAAAATGAAATTAAAATGTGTCTTATGTTTCAAAGGTCTGATTCTAAGAACTTCATTTTTTTTAAGGATTTGGGATATTAAACATATTTCAGTTTAGATCAGTCTTTATAAAGCTTTATTTTTTTAAAAAAAATTATGTTATTTTCCATTTGGATAAACTTTTCTGACCCTGTGCTTTTTAAAAAATTATTATTATTTTCTGGCCCACAGAGAGGACTGGAAGCCTGTACTAACAATAAACTCTATAATTTATGGCCTGCAGTATCTCTTCTTGGTAAGTATATGTAGGAAAAAAGTGTGAAGCCATGACATTAAAGCTAAAGCACTATCTTCCTTCTCAGTCTGAGCAAGAATATGAATGTAAGAATGGGAGAGAAATAATACAGAAGGTAAAATGCAGTGTGCTCCTGAGGAATCTGTAGTGTTCTGGGTGAGAGTGGTGGTGAATGAAATAAATGCAACTTTATATCGTTACATTTGGGGAAGATGTGTCTGATGTGCTGTCTACCAGTTGGAATGGGAATTTGCCTGTACACAAGATTGTACTTGATGATATCTGCAAAACAAAATTGTTGGAAGACTTTTGTAGCGTGTGGCTAATGTGACAGCCTTTGCACTCAAGTAGAGTGATTCAAATCAAGTTTTTAGCTTTCTAATGTTGTTTTTCCTGAACAAACCTGCCTACTCTTCAGTTGCTTTAACAAAGCATTTGTTTGCAACAAAATGGAACTTTTCTATACTATCCAAGAGTATGATCTCAAAAACCTTTTGTCTTGCCCTTCCTATTTTGCAATAGGAATATTTTGCAATATTATGGTTAGTAATATGCATTTTGCAGTATTTTGCAGTATTATGGTTAGTATGATCCTAACCATGTTAACTCAGAAATGTTATGTTCAGGAAGCGTTATGCCACTGCATTTATTTTTCTGGAATAAATTAGAAATTAAAGAAATAATATATGGTACCCTATATTCCCAAGGTGGTATCATAAATTTGACAACTCAGAATGTTCCACTTACTGAGACTTTTAATTACTAACCCAGACAGTAATTCTTTATGACATGAGAAGTAAATATCCATGTGATTGTGGGATATCCTTGAACTTGAAGTGACATGCTGGGATCACACTCCAAAAAGTTAGTGGGGCCAGGGCAAAATATAAATATTTTGCTTAAATATAATTAAGATTATTATACCAAATATATTTAATATTTTTGTCTACTTTTGTCATTACAATTTTAGAAATACAATTTGGAATGCCTGGAACAGATTATGTTCTTTTGGACTAAATGTTCATGCTTTGTATGAAAAGGGCACTCCATAACCTATTGTGTTAAGAATGTTTAATGACCTATTGTATTAATAATATACTGTATTGTCCTTTTTCACCTACAAAAGTAAGCTTTAATCACCATTTTAAATTGGGAGTCATGGATTTGGTTTTAATATCTTTGGTATTATATCTATAGAGCATTGAGTTATAATTAAAATCAGCTTATTATAAAGTGGCATGTAGTATACATTAAAAAAAAATAAACATGTATTTTTAAATGTATAAAATTGGATTTTTGTACAGGCTGACTTGTACAAATTATATCACAAGTAGTACAAAAGTTCCTCTGGGCTCTTAACTGTATTCTATTGGCAAACAGAGATATTATCTTCCAAAAAGCAGTTCCATTCTATGACAATGCCAAACCTCCATATTTTGGGGGTCTGGTTAATCTTATAATTTTGAGTTAATTGGAGAGGAAGATACTCTTATTTCTCCTTTTTTTCTCTTCAATCTTGAGAGCTGGGGAGATGTTTATAGTACACTAGGAAATAGGGAAGCTAAGATTGACCTAGCTAACAGTTGCCACTCTTAGCGGCCATGGTGAGAGCAGGAGAGCATATGAGGAATGTGCTCTGGTAAGTTCTAAAAGCTTTTGGTTTATGGTGAAGGAATGTGATGAAAGAGAGTGTAATACATTGTCCTCCTGGGAGACAGATATTTGGTGAGATGCAGAAGCTTCTTACAATGGTGCAAGCTCATGCTGCTCCCTGAACCATCTCAAGGGGTTCTGTAGGCTGGCATGTGTGCAGCTTTTGCTCATCTGGTTTTCTAGCTGTTTATGAAGGATGCAGTGCGAAGGGGTGTCTTGCACTTTCCTTTATGTTGGAGGGAATTTGTTCAGGAAACAGAATCCTTTAGCTGATGAAAAAGAGACATAGGTTGTGCTAATTGAACTAAACTGCACCAAATTAGCATTTGGCTCAGTTAGGTTGTGGATTCTTCTTACTTATTTGTTAGACTTATATCATGCCCTTTGTTTGGGAGTTCAAGGTGGTGTACATAGTGTTCCTTCCTCCCTTTTCCCCCCCACAACAATTCTGTGAGGTAGGCTAGAGTGAGAGTGTCTGTCTTAAAGTCACTCAGAGAGCTTTCATGGCTGAGAGTGGACCTGGCCTTCCTTGTGCCAGTCAACACCTGAACCACTACGCCACCCTTGCTATCTTATAATTTTCCTAAGTAAACAGTTATATGCTTTGGTTTGGATTAATTTGCTGGCAGATAATAACTGCTGGTCCCTCGAAGGCTGGGAGGGGATATAACTTTTCATAGCCCCTCAGTAATGACACTGTGTCCTCCCTCAAATAGCCAAATAGTAAAAGACAATATTAGGGAAGGGTATCATCCTTTGCTAATAGGATTTGGTATATTTGCCTGCCTGCCTCCCACCCCCCATAAACACACACACAGAGTGGTGCTTAAAAGTTTGTGAACCCTTTTGAATTTTCAGTATTTCTGCATAAATATGACCTAAAACGTGATCTCTTTCTTGCCTGCCTGCCTCCCACCCCCCATAAACACACACACAGAGTGGTGCTTAAAAGTTTGTGAACCCTTTTGAATTTTCAGTATTTCTGCATAAATATGACCTAAAACGTGATCTCTTTCTTGCCTGCCTGCCTCCCACCCCCCATAAACACACACACAGAGTGGTGCTTAAAAGTTTGTGAACCCTTTTGAATTTTCAGTATTTCTGCATAAATATGACCTAAAACGTGATCTCTTTCCCACGCAAGTCCTAAAACTAGATAGAACCCAATTAAACACATGAGTCAAAAATATTATAGTGGGTGAAAACTGACTTTTTAAGGGATAGTCAAAAGATCTAAGTAGGTTAGGAGGACTAAGATGCTGTCATTTATTCTTGCAGCCTGATTAAAATGGACTCCTTGTCTATGAAAGGTCCTCATCTTTAAACTGCAACAAGACCCTGGCATTTAATGGTGTTCTCTTCCCTCTCTAGGAGCCAAACCCTGAAGACCCCTTGAACAAAGAGGCTGCTGAAGTCCTCCAGAACAACAGACGCCTGTTTGAGCAGAACGTCCAGCGCTCGATGCGGGGCGGCTACATTGGTTCCACCTACTTTGAGCGCTGCCTCAAATAGAACTGACCGGCTCCGGGCACAAACTTGCTCCCCCTCCCCCTCCTCTCATCTCCCTTCTAGCTCTTCTAAGGGACTCTGCCAACACCGCTGCCTTCAGCCATCAAGGGGGCACAGGAGTCAGGAATTGGCAGGGGGCCCCTTCCATCTTCTTTCTCTTCCTCCCCCCCTTTTCCCCCCATCTGCTCACCCTACTGCCCCCTGCCAGCCTGGGGCCTCAGCAGCCACTGCCTCACCAGATCCTTGTACCTCCCTCACTGCTGTCCCTCTGTGCTGCTGTGGGGCGAGGGGTGAGGTTACTGCTGCTTCTTTGTCCCACCCACTGTGTTGGGGTAGCCACCTGTTCCTGACTGTGTGGGACCCCATTCCTGGTGCCCGTCTGTCTTTCTGGGAGCTGTGGTTTTGCTGCTAAGAACAGAAGGCTCCCTATGTGCTCTGGCATTCCTTGCCTGCAGTGCAGTGTTACTCAGCTGCGGGATCTGCAGGCCACTTGCCTATCCTTTCCTCCCCTGCAGGGCACCAAGGCTTCTGACCGTAACTATTTATTAAATGGGGGAGGCTCTTGAGGGCTGGGTAAACGTGGAAGGCTAGAGGGGGGTGCTCAGCTGCCTCCACTCTGCCCCAGGCATTGTGGCTCAAGGGGGAGGGGCTGGGTCAGGCCTGGAATATTCCTTTTAGGATCAACTCACTTGTGTGTCTGGTTTTTAAGGAAAAACTAATAAAGCCACCACCACCACTTCCAAACCCACCAACGCTAATAGTAGTAGTAATAAAAGTAACAGGGACGCTGCTGATCCCATTGTTGTCTACCAGGGCCTGCCCAACAATGAACTCTACTCTGCCTCTCCAGTGACTCCTGCAAGTCCCTGGCCAACATAAAGCCACTGTAATTCTAGTGTGTCGGGTTATTAAAGGGGAATGTTAGCACATTCAATTTGCCCCTTGCCTCTCATTTTCTGCTTCCTTCTTCCCTGGTTGGTGCAGGGGTGGAGAGGGCAGGGGAAAGTGATGTGTGTTGGTTGGGACAGCTGTCAGAGTACAGTTGCCCTGTGCCATCCTGAGAACACAGGAGATCCCGACTGTCCTTAAGTCACTGGAGATGGTCTGTGGATGGAAGAAGGAATTGGAGGTGAGTGCTGAAGAGAGGTGATGGAAACAACATTTTGAGAAAAACTCATGACTTTGACACATTGGCTGGATACATTACTCCCATTGATAGAAGTACAACTGTCACAACTGTTACAGAATATTCTGCATACAAACCTGGATATCTCATTGTAGTCCTTGGAACGGAACTGACTTTTTAACTGTTCCAAGGTATAAGACCTAACAAGGTGCTGATCTTCCACCATAATAAATCCTGCTTTGTTGACAAAACTCCTTTCACAATCTTCCTCTTTAGAAGATTGCACTTTCCCACCCAACAGTGATGCTACGGTTTGGTTCTAAGCATCCGGCGTAGCTGTTCTGGGACTATGCTACAATTAATGTGATAGACTGCAAGTAGTAAACACTTGTTTTACTAGAAGTGGAGAGAAGCTGTTACTGATTTTACACAAAATAAGTACCCACCATAGCCTTGAACCCTCAAATTCGGAAAGGAAGATCATTAGTATACCATTCAAATACATATTTAGTGCCTGTATATACAAGAGGGAAGAGAGAAGGTTGTGAGTCAAAAGATCTGCTAATAAAGAGTTCTGTACAGCAGCATTGCCCCTCCTAACATTTTCCCAACCCCCTGCTACTTGCATTTTAAAAATAGTTCTTTAAAAATGTAACAAATCAATGAAATTTTGTAGTGTACTATTTATGGAATAAAAACGTGCCTTGCAGCACACTGGTTTGGGGTGAATTTTGCAACTGCATGCCATGCCATGCCATCTAGTGATTGTCGTATTCAGAACCACATCCTTTAGTGTTGGGTCTTTCCTCGGTGCTGCCTTTTCCTTCCTCTTGGTGCAAGCACTGCTTTATTATACCAGTTGTTTCTAAAACAATTGTGTTTAAATGAACTTCCAGTGAAAAAGAATGGCGTGATATTATCATAAACCCCCATTTCCAGTGGGTTGCACTGATAACTAGATGAAGTCTACAGACAGTCCTGAGTATTTGTGTCTGTGAAGCTTCTAGGCTTCCGTTCTGAAGGTGCAGGCAATGGATCTGAAAATTCAGTCTCATCACCTAGCTGGTATGAACCACTGCAAATTCTGTTCAAGTAATCTAGAGGGGTCATAACCTGTAAACAGTCAAGGATTCAGAGGGTTGCAGAAAGGCAAGGGCTTCTCTAACCAAAAAACCTGTAAAAATGATTTAGGGACTGAAAACATGCCCTGGAATGTTTCAGTAGCTAATAGATGGCCATGATAGAGCACTACTGTATCAAGATGGCACTTAACGGCTGGTGGTAAAAATGCTACGTAGCTTCCCTGCTTATTTTGCAGTTGCAATTCCTTAGGTAGTGGTATTTAAACTGTCTCTTCCCTGCCCTTTCCCTCTCTCAGTTGTCATTTTTATTGCCTCCTTTTGTGATAGTATAAGGCATGTTTCTTTGTGGCACACGCTAGAGACAAGAACAATGGGGGAGGTCAGCTGTCACCACCACCTTGCTTCAAGATTCCCCGAAGTTTCGGGTTGGCTCTTGCATCATTCTTTCACTGAGTGTGCAGGGTGCTTGCACTACAGTCATACAAAAGACTCCATTGTGCTTGTTCACCCTGTCTAATGAGATCACTGTGCCTATATGCATCACGAATCATTGGCTTGATTCAGCAGTGTTATTTAAACACTGGGCCTGTGCTCTTATGAATGTGTATGTTTGTTTACGTGTAATCCAGGCCTGACTATCTGGCGCAGTTGACATCTCATTTCCCACCACCTCTAGCCAGCACAGCTGTCAATATGGCTGACTGGGTAAGATAGGAGTTGTAGTCCAACATGTGTTTTAAAGAAAAATTGACAGTGTCAAGAATGGAACCAGAAATGTTATCTATCCAAACCACATGCACTATCACACAGTGTACTTTCATGCAGTGTTTCTTAAGAAATGTAATCTTCAAACACAGAGCACAAGGGAATCCGTCCCCAGCACGGGGTGGGGGTGGGGTGGGGTGGGAGTGGCTGATCTACTTCCCTGGCCCCAGAATAAAGGACACTGTGATGTGCTTTTCAGCTATGAACAATCCTGCAGTGTAAATGACTGTTTCATTCTTGATCAGTTTGTTCTCTGGCCAAGTGAAGGAGGGAGTGAAAAGCAATATCATCTTTTCACATAGCTAATGGAAAAATTTGGGCCCGGAGGATGTGATTTCATGGACAATCCATGTAATGTTATTGGCGGCACCATGGAGGTGGTTTACCACTTTTTTGACTTCAGAGTTGGGTTTTCAAGTACTAATTATATCTAAGCCTGCTTACCTTTTTGCATTCAATCAAGGTCAGCTAGGTGCTACCACCTAACATGGTTATATATAATTAAGTTAACCCTCAAATGGAATGAAATCTGATCCCGGGCTGGATTAATATCCTGGGTTATATGTCAATTAGCAACCTGTGGCTTGTGGAACAAAATATCAAAAGAATCCTGGCCAAGCCCTCTGCAGACCCAGTCAATTTCACACATCAAAAGCTAATAAATGTGGCAAAAGCATTTGTGTCAGAAAAATCAACACATGTCCACTGGTATGCATAGGTGACAAAGACAGGAACAACTTTGTAAGCGATCAGGGCAAAGGGACATGTGGTGCAGAAGGCTGTAACTGCAAAATGTAACTACACACAACAGCGGTAATGTAATCTGGTCTATGACTAAGCACCGGGACTGTAATCTGAAAAAAAGTTAACCTTTTATTTTGCTTTTATTCTAGGCTGCCTATCTTTATCTGCTGAATTTGGAGATGCTACATCTCCAAAGTCTACAAAAATTGAAGATGAATAGCATGGAGCTGTGAAGATTAGGAGTGAATTGCTACCACTGCAACTTCAAACCTTCCCAAACATTTTTGGTGCCATTTTTTAAAAGCCAAATCCTCAACAGATGTGGCATCTACTTTATAGACACAGGGTACACATTTTCTTATAAAGCAGAACAATTTCTGGGGAAGATGCGTGTTTTGGCTTTCCTTCAACCATAGAAGCTCAAGGGATGACTTTAGGCCAGTCACTTTCTCTACCCAACCTATTTCCCCGAGATGATGGTTGTGGAAAAAAATTGGGAGAAAGCAGTGCAACGTACACCATCGTGAGCTCCCAGAGAACGGTGGAATTAAATCAAATAAACATACGCATTCTTCTAACTGCCTTAACTTTTGGATATTCTTGCAACTTTTAAAGGACGGTTATAATACTGAAATTACTTTTTTTTTTTTGTGGCCTAATATTTTGACTGAATTAGCTATACTAAGATATGAACAAAACTGCATGTTAGTCTGTCAAAAAAAGGCCTATAAGTGATTTGGTTTTTTAAAAATCAAATTAAGCTTGCTGATTTGGGATTTTATTTTTATTCTAAGGTGGGATCAGAACTCAGAGTCTCCCCGTTCCTACGCTAATGCCTTAACCACTACACCAAACTGGATAGTACCCAATTTAGGAAAAGCATGGATACCTGTGCTTGATAGCATATAATCCATCAGAGAGGAGACGCTGCTGCCTAGAAAAGATGATGGTTAAAAGTAGCATTTTCCCCCCACTGTATTTTCTAGACACGGCTCACTTTCGCCCCCTGGTGGACATTTCATTGGTCCGCCAATGAAAACCAGGGAAAGAAAAGATAGTCCTCTCTATACTTTTGAAAGATCTGTGACATAACCTGCCCTAAAATTTCCCGGAAGTACCCAGAAAGGCAGAGAAGACTTTAATCTCATCTCCTACCGTTCCTTTCCCTCCCCTCTCTCTCTGTGATTCATTTCCGGTTTCCGCCCGCCCCCCATCCTTTGCACAAATCAGAGCTGCCCTTTGAGTCCCTCCACCCACGTGACCATGTCGCCAAAATGCCACGCCCGTGACGTCAGTGGGCTGAAGCGGAAGAAGAGTGTAGAGGAAATATCAAGGAGGTGAAGGGACGGAGTTAGGCGGCTGCTCGGTGAATTGTTGGGGGCGAGAGTCGGAGCGAGGTCGGGGAAAGCTTTTGTGGGGGGGGGATCGCTATTCTGCCTTTTTCTCTCTGCTCCACCAAATTCTTCTTTGTTCTTCGTTTGACTAAGAGAATTATGTCTGATACTTCGATTTGTGTTTATGCTTACCCTTTGCTAGCACTCCCTGCCCCCCTCCATCGCCCAGCTGTGATGGACTACAATGCCCATCATCCCCAGTGATGAGGGAGGAGAGTAGTCCAGCACACCTGGAGTGTTGGCTGGTTGGGGAAGATTACTGTAAAACTTTCCACTTGCTTGTTGCATTGGGTGTGTTTGTGTGTCTGTTTATGTTGTGACTGAGACTTGATTAGAATGATTTATTGCATGCATATGCTAACCTTTGTGTAAGGACTCAGAGTGTTTTTCTGTACAGTAATTTATTATAATAAGTTGTTAAATTTATATGCTGCCCGACTCCCAGCAACTCTGAAAAATAAATCCACAGTCTGGGTAAAGTAGCATAGCTGAGTTTTTGTAGTCAAAAGCTTCTTAGCCAAGGCAGCTTCATCATTATTTATTGTTGGTCTTGGTTTTGGCCTAAGGAGAAATACTCTGCTTGACTGTCTTTATAATGCACCTTTGCTTTATCGGTGGCTGTTTAACTGATGTTTATCCTGTTGATGTGTAAATGATGGTTGAACCAAACTCTAAGCATCAGGCAGACCACCTTTTCAAGTTCTTTCATTTTAAGTTATTTAGCATAATATAAATTTAATTTCCTTAATCTGCCCTTTTAAATAAAAAGTGTTAAATGGGGAACAATTTTTTGACAAGCAATTTCTGAATATGATTGAAAGTTTTGAGGATTTCCATCTGTATGGTTGGCAAGGGACAATCTATAGTGACTATCACTACTATGACAAGACCACTTGTAATCTTGAGTGTGTATTCTCCGTGACAAAGATATAGCCATCTGAAAGTTGCTGAACAACTCTCGCTAGTCTTCTAGGTTGACTAATGGTGAATGATGCTGGGAGTTTTAGTTCAGCAATATTAGAGTGCCTGAAGTTTCCCACTGCAAGGTTTATAATTCTCTTAACCTAAAGCCTTTATGTAAATAACTGTACATTAAATATATTTCCGTAGAAAGGAAGGAAATGAGAGCTCGTTAATTATAACATCTGTGCTATGTGTAATGCATCTTCATGTTATTTTAGCTCAACCACCTAGCCCCTTAATCCCTATCTAACACTATCTAATTTATGACGGGCAGGTTCTCTTAGTATTTCTAAGATTGTGACACCTTGTATTTTGAACTGAATGGGAGTCATTAAAAATACAACCCTATTTGTATTGTTCTACCCTTTCATTAGGATGGCCCTGTTCTAGGCTTGAGTCCAATGCACGTGGAGGGCATTTATTTGGGAAAGGCTGTACAAAAGTGACAGAAAGGGGCAGAACTAAGGGACCAAGCTTTATGTATGAGATGCAGCTACAACAGAATAATAAAGCTTAGTGCTGTATTAAAAGCTTCATCTGGATATTAACTCTGTCCCTTTCATAAAACCTAACCAAAAATTACATACAGAGGTATGATAGATCATGGGAAGTTTGATCTAAAATGGTTCTTCCCCAACCTAAATATGGATGTGTGGCCTTCACTACCAACAATTCCTATGTAACATGTTCATACCTCTGGAGGTGTCTGGGTTGAGAAAAGGTGCTCTGAAACAGCAAATGTTGTTTTGTTTCTTGGGGAAGGATTGCATTTCCATCTATTTGCTTATAAACAAGTAGGTTTTTCCTCTCCCCACTTGTTGGTATCCCTCTGACACAATTCTTTGCAGGAATTGTGATACCAGTAACTATACTTTGATTCAAGGTGTGTCTTGGACTTGCCACTGATATAAGTTAGTGGCCCACTGCCTCCATAGAGAGATCTTCCTTCAAAAGTGTAAAGTTGTTCATATATATATCTGTATTAAATATTTTAAAAAGAAGATAAGAACTAATACAAACTAATATAAAGTAAGAAAAAGAAAAAGAAAGAAATCAAAGAGAAAGCTAAAAGGGCAAGAAAGGAAAAAAGTAAAAGAAAAATAGAAAAGAAAGCAAAAAGATACAAAGAAGTAGCTTCTGATCTTCTTTACGGCAAAAGAAAAAGAAAGAAATCAAAGAGAAAGCTAAAAGGGCAAGAAAGGAAAAAAGTAAAAGAAAAATAGAAAAGAAAGAAAAAAGATACAAAGAAGTAGCTTCTGATCTTCTTTACGGCAATTATAAGTACAATTATAAGTTTACCTCTTACTCTATGGTTACAACATCTCTCTTCTTTCTATAATCTACTCTATCTAATCATCAAAATCATAAATCGTAAGTTCATTTTTTTTTCTGTTTCATGCAAAAAGTTTATAAGAGGTTTCCAGTCAGCAATGAACGCAGATATGGTCTTTTCTCTGATCAAATAAGTCAATTTAGTCATCTCAGAAGTGTAGGGTTGTTCTGTAAATGTTCAAAGTGGTAGCAGTGCATTAAACATCTGATAGCTGGGTAAGGCTGGTTGAAGTTAGCCAGGAGCTCAAGCATTCTGGAATTGCCCTCTTTTTATTTTATCTACTTTCTTGAAATATAAATTATTTCTCTTAAATTTGGTCATTTTTATTTGCTCAGTTTATAAAAGTTCTGTTGTGTTCACTGAGCAGCAAACTAGAGGGAAGGATGTGAGATGGGATATGAATAATAAATCAGATATTTAAGGACATTTAATGTAGAGTAATATAATAAAATACAATGTAACATAATGGATATAATATAAAGTACAATATAATGCAAGGTTCTGAAAAATGAACAGGGTTTTTTTGTAATTCTGTTGACTTACTGATTCATAGTTAGAAAGGGCAATAACAAAAGTTGATGCAAAAACTGCAGTAAAAAACTCTGGTTTAAGCCTGCTACCAATTGATAGAAGTAACACACACACACAAACATATTTGTTTGTCTCCCAGAAGTGAATCTTTTCTATCTTTGCTCTCTAGGCTGTTTTCATTCTGAAGTGCAATGTATTCATCATGAATCTCTGATTGTAATTTTTGTGATCTGATTGGGGGTTTCTTTGGTCTGTGACTATATATTTTAATAAATTAAATTTATGGTCTCTTGATGTATTGGCCAGAAGTTTGTTTAATTTTTATCCAAAGATGCTTTGCTCCTATGTGTTTTATAATTCCACATCTTCCTTTTTCTCAATAGTTGTAGGTTGACTCATTTTCTGTCAAGATGGATCTACTGTTTGGGCGCCGGAAGACCCCAGAGGAGATGCTGCGGCAAAATCAGCGGGCTCTGAACCGTGCCATGCGAGAATTAGACCGTGAGCGGCAGAAGCTGGAGACCCAGGAGAAAAAGATCATTGCTGACATCAAGAAAATGGCCAAGCAAGGGCAGATGGTGAGCTTGGGAAGAAAGGACAAGTGTGGTTTTTGAAAGCCACCAGGAGAAAATTTAAATATCTGCCTCTAATCTGGTTCTCCCACCTTAGGATGCTGTGAAAATCATGGCTAAAGATCTGGTGCGGACAAGGCGCTATGTCAAGAAATTCATCATGATGCGGGCTAACATCCAGGCAGTGTCCCTTAAGATACAGACACTCAAGTCTAACAACTCCATGGCTCAGGCAATGAAAGGTGTCACCAAAGCCATGGCTACCATGAACAGACAGGTGGGTAAGCTCCACACCAGTTCAGCTACAGAAGACTTTTAAGCAGCATCTTTTGAGACTGTACCATAGCTCACTGGCCAAGCATCCACGTTGCATTCAGAAGGTCCCACTTTCAATCCCTGGTAGCAGGGACTTGCCTAAAGTCCTGGAGAGCCAAATGCCAGTTAAAGTAGGCATGTGGAACTAGGAGTCCAAATAATTTGACTTGACAAAGGGCAGCTTTCTAAATGCTCTTTCTTGTAATAGTATGTGTGAGTTGCTGAATTGATATTACAGGTAGTACTTGTTTAGTGATAGCCTAGTTTAACGACCATTTGCAGTTAAGACCGTGATGAAAAAGTAACTTTGCAATCAGTCTTCACATTTTGTAAAGCAAACGAAAGCTGAAGGAAGATCATAAGCACACTTGTGGTTTCACTTAGTGATTGCTTGGCTTAATGACTGAGTTGCTGGTCCCAATTGTGGTTGCTAAACATGGACTACCTGTAATATCTGTTTTGTTTGTTTGTTTTTCAAAATGGGATATCAGAGCCTCTGAGGTTGTTTAATAGGTAGCACAGAAGCATTTAAAACTGACTAGTGCAGAGAATGTGCCACTGAAGGTGCCATAACTGTTTACAGAGATTTTCTTTCAGTCCAGCAGCTGACTTGCAGAATTCTCTAACGGGATTCTCCAGACTGGATTCAAGCTGTCCTGAGCTATTCACACTGCCACCTCTTCAATTAATACTTTTAAAAAAAATGAACATTCAATCTCTTAGTAACAATAATCTGTTATTCTAGTGATGTGGTTATATCTACTCAATGTCACTCATGCCCTGGTCACTTCCAGAATGGATTTCTGTAATGTACTCTACATGGGGCTGCCCTTGAAGAGCATCTGGAAGCTTCAGCTGGTGCAGAATGTGGCTGCATGGACAGTAATGTGTGGCTCTAGGATGGCACACATTACACCTCTGCTCTGTGAGCTGCATTGGTTGTCAGTTTGTTTCCGGGTGCAATTCAAAGTGCTGTTTTTGATCTTTAAAGCCCTACATGGCATGGGACCAGGTTATTTGAGGGACTGTCTCTTCCCGGTCACATCTACCCATCCCATCAGGTCCAGCGGAAGAGGTATGCTCCAGGTCCTGTCTACTAAGGAGCTCCATCTGGCAGGACCGAGGAGACATGTCTTTTCTGCTGTAGCCCCCATCCTCTGGAACATCATTCCCCCCTGAGGTGAGGTTAGCCCCATCTCTGTCACCCTTCCAGAAAGCCTTGAAAACATGGTTCTTCCATCAAACCTAGGGATCCCATGGCGAGCCTGCAAAGTGGTTGAATGAGGCTAAATGGTGGTTGTCCTCCTGCTATCTTGGGGTTCTTCTATGTTTTTTTGTTTTTGTTTTTGTTTTATGTTTTTGCTGTTATTTATGTCTTATGTTTTATATTGTGATATGGTTTTAATTGTTATTCTGCTTGTAAGCTGCCCAGAGACGCTTTTTGTGAGGTGGGCGGCTATATAAATTTGCTAAATAAATAAATAAAATAAATATTCCCTGCCACTGCTTTCACAAGTGTGAAAGGCAAGTGATGGTCTATTCCTTTTTCTGAAATGTTGTAACAGCATCCTGCCTTGCCTTCTTTTAGCTAAAGTTGCCTCAGATTCAGAAAATCATGATGGAGTTTGAAAAACAGTCAGAGATCATGGATATGAAGGAAGAGATGATGAATGATGCTATTGATGATGCGATGGGAGATGAAGAGGATGAAGAGGAAAGGTATTTAGCATTGGCGACATGGATATTGGATGGGGGTTGCATATTGGAGAGGAAGGCTGACATCTGACTGATTGTTGGGAAGTGATAGGCTTTCAACCTTCAGATCCCTCCCTGCAACCCAGATCTATGCACAGTAAAGCCAAGCATCTAAATTCATCCTGAAGTTTAGACAGGAACTGAGATTCAAGCAAGGGACGTAGTGGATTAGCCATGCAGACAAGCGCATTTCATGTTCTTGCTTTCCATTCACAGTGATGCTGTTGTCTCCCAGGTGTTGGATGAGCTAGGTCTGACGCTGACAGATGAGCTGTCAAGTGAGTATTTGCATGAAATGAACATTAGGAAAGAAGTATGGCAAGGGAAGAGACACCTGAGCCACTTTGTGATTCGGCAGCCTTAGAAATTAAATGAATAAATAAATAAATAAGAAAGAGACACAACTCATATGATTCTTGTAAATCCCAGATGGGTAAAAGTTGGCATTATTGGCAGAAGTAGAGTGGGGCTGTTTCAGGGATATTATCTAAATTAAGCAGTAACTGGTTCTGACAGTAATTTGTCATGATAGCCCTTCAAATGAGATGTATCAAAGTAGGTAGTCCTCATTTAGTGACCGTTCACAGTTACGACAGTGATGAAAAAGTAACTGTGTGACCAGTCCTCACATTTACAACCTTCACAGGTCTGTAAAGCAAAGGAAAGCTGAAGTAAGATCATAAGCATGGTTGTAGTTTCACTTAGTGATTGCTTTGATTAATGACCGAGTTGCTGGTCCCAATTGTATTCACTAAACGAGGACTACCTGTAGTTTATTTATTTTATTTAATTTGGGCACTGCCCGGCTCCAACTGACTCTGGGTGACTCACAATATATTACCATAAAAATCCAATACAACTAAAACAAGATGGGATCTGATCACTCTATACAGACAGAAACAAAAGTACCAAAAACACACCCAACAGTTAATAGTGTTCCAACACATCTTTTTTAAAAATGGTATCATTTCAGGAAGGGTTAAATATACATGGTGAATCATAACAATGCCAGTAAGACTGGGCCTCTCAGACTTTGTGCAGGGTAACCCTAATCACCATAATACTGCAACTTCAGAAATTTACCCTAAATAATACAGTTTAACTGAGGTTAAATGGAAACCCTTGAGAAATGCGGTGGTTCCCTTTGAAATGAATGATAATTCTTGATTATAAAAGGTTAGAAAATGCGGTCCTGGTTGCTTTACTCAGAATAAAAAACACAGTAAAATTGGTTGATATCTGTGTGGAAGGTAGACAGTGAAAGTATGAGTACTTAGAGGGAGATTTTTTAAAAATGTGACAATCCTCCTCCCCCCCCCCCAAATCAAGTGGTGGTTCTGTCTTATCTCATGCATGCAAAATCCAGCCCCTGTCATAAAAGTCCTGGGCTCTCCACCCTGCTCTCCTTGAATTAACCAGCTTGCCTGGCAGAGCAGGAAAGATGAGTTTTTTGTATAACTCTAACATGTGCAAAAATGTCACAAACTGCATTGACCCCTGATCTGTTCAGAAGAACAGGAAGCGATTCTGCTGTAAGGCTTTCAAGCTCATCATACACTTTACAAAAGGACCATAGAACAGAGTGGGTTGAGGATGAGGCTCGGTGAGTGAGTGGGATTGTTTTTCTGAGTGTGAAGGAAGGGATTCTGTTTTTTTAAAAATTGCTTTAAAGCTATTGCAGTTTTCAAATGTTTCATGCCTCAAGATAGTTGGAAAGTACTAATTTTTCTTTTTGGCTATGAGGACTTCAAGAAAAGGTTCAGAGGGTGGAGGTTGCCTCTCTATACCAATCTGCAGTGGGTGGTGCTTGATTTTCATTTCATATGTTAAATAAGCCAAGATCATAGTTGTTGTGGCTTGTAAAACATTGGTTGGTTGATTGGCAACCATATAAATCAAATCAATCTAAACATGGCAAATCTGGGCAACTAATGACATTTAAAAACCTAATATAACATAAAGCATAAATGATAGCCAAGGTAATAAACATTCTGTCACGGATTGAACAACTTCACAGGCTAATTCCTGACTAACAACCCAAACCCCATACCCAGGAATGTATCCACATTTTCAGGGGTTTCCAAAAAGGCGATGGGGCTGGGGCCAACTTATCTTGGGTGGAATGGTGTTCCAAGGGGCAGGCACTATGATAGAAAAGGTCTGCTTCCTGGATCTTCAAGGTGCCACCCTTTAATTGTTGGGACCTGCAGCATGCCTCTTTTGCTCCATCTAATGAGACAGGTAGAAACAATCAGGGAGAGGTGGTCCCGAAATAACCTGGCCCCATGCTGTGAAGGGTTTATAGGTGACAACCAGCACCTTGACTTGCATCTGGAAGCATCCTGGAAACCATTGCAGCTCATGGAGCAGAGGTACAACATGAGTTCACCAAGGTGCATTCACAACTGCTTGCACTGCCACTTTCTGAACCAGTGGCAGCTTCTGGGTGCTTTTCAAGAACAGCTCCATGTAGATGGCATTGTTTTAATCCATTTGGAGGTGACCAAGGCATGTGTGACTGTGAGAGAACCTCTTGGTTCAGGAAAGGGTGCAGTTGGCGCATGAAATGAAGTTGTACAAAAGCATTCTTGGCTGTGGCTTCTGGCACTGCTCCTTGAACAAGAGCTGTGAATCCAAGAGGACACCCTGATTTCTCACCAGTTCTGTTTGGGGTAATGCGACCCCAACCATAACGAAAGATGGAAAAACACTGGATCCAGGGAGGCCTGAAACCCAAAGCCACTCAGTCTTGCTGGGGTTGAGCTGAAGCCTGTTCTTCCCCATCCAGATCCCCTCTGCCCCCAGGCACTGAGGCGGAACCTCCCCAGCATCACTTGGTTGGCCAGTGGAGATGTAAAGCTGGGCATCATTAGTATACTGATGATGCCTCACCCCATGCCATTGAATTACCTCACCCAGCACTTCACATAGATGTTAAAACAGGAGTTTCAAGCTAGATCTCTCCCCACCCATCATTGGAACTGGCCTCAGAGGAAGGAGAATCAGCACAACACTGTGCCCTTGCTCCCAACCCTCAGTGCCAGAAGGTACCATAATCAGTGATATCAAAAGCTGCTGAGTGATCAAGGAGAACAAGGATGCACCATCCCCATCCTGCTCCTGCCAGAGGTCATCCATAAGTGCGATCAATGCCATGGTGAATGGCTTAATGTGATATGTGAAACTTTGCTTATTTTGATGTCAACAAACCATAGCTAGCCTCACCATGGTAAGTGTGATACATGAACCCCACCTGTAATCTTGATGCCACACACAGTCTTGGGGCATAGAGAACTGGGAATGGAAGGGAGAATGGCATTGTTGGGCTGTTGCAGACTTTACTCTCTTCCTTGCAGATTTGCCTTCAACTGGTGGTTCTCTGAGTGTGGCAGGAGGAAAGAAAGCTGAAGCCTCCGCAGCTCTCGCTGATGCAGATGCCGATTTGGAGGAGCGGTTAAAAAACCTACGGCGAGACTAGAAGAGCGGTGCCCAGCTCCCTTCCCCTCCCCTAGCATGGGTGGCTCTTCAGACCCTCTTGGTGTTAGGATTACACCTCTGTTGTGGCAGGGAGTTCTAGCTTTGCAAGCTTCTGTGAGGTTGACTGCGGGTGGCATAAGTGGGGGAAAGAAGGCTTAATCGAAGCTGTGTGGTGCTCTTATTCCCCTCTGATCTGAAAGGACTTTCAGCATCACCTGGCAAAATTATGTGGGCAAAATGTTTTTCTTTTCTGTTTTTTCCCTACCGTGAAAATGCCTCCATTTCCATGAGACTGGATAGCTTGGAGTCTAAAGGAAGCTTCTTTCTGAATGAGGGGAGGGGGTTAGGAGTAGGTGACATTACCTACTCACTCCCCCATGTTCTTATGATGATGATGGCAAGGTGGAGGAGGGTGAGCAGTGGAACAGCAGGTGGTATCTTGGTTGATACCCCTGCCGTTGAAAAGGGGCAAGAGACTCTCTGACTCTTTCCCCAATAAAACTTTATATAAAGCCCTGCCCCTGGAAGGAGGCAGGCAGGCCTCCCCATTTTATCTGTTTGTCTCTTGTAATAAAGGTGGTAGATTTGTACCGAGAGTTCCTCCGGCATCTGCTGTTGCCCCTGAAGTGGAACATTGAAACTGGCCCCTGACCACTGTCTGTGGTCCTGAGGGTCCCAGCACTGCACTTTTGCCTCTCTTTTTAGTGCAACTGGTGACTTTTGGAGCAGGACACATTTTATGCTAGAAATGTGGGCAAATTGCCTTAGTTCTAGACATTTTCCTTTTGAGCCTGGGAACATTTGAAGACCATTGTAAGTGTCTTCCTACTCTACATATATGCATCTGCTTGAAAATATGGGCCCCGTTAGTGAGTTATAGCTAGACAAGAGAGGGCAGGTTTAAGCAAAGGGAAGGCTCCTACAAATTTGGTTTAGAGCAAAGATGAGTAAGGGGGGGAATGTGGTAAAAGTGGGTACAGTTACAGACAATGGAGAGAACGTGGTAAGGCACATTGTTCCTCAAACTGCCAGAACTTGGAACATCCAGTGCTTGAATGGGAAGACATTGAGGAAATACCTACTTATACAGCGCATAATTAAGCTGTGAGATTCCCTTCAGGAGGATAAGGTAATAGCTTTGATCTCAGCTGCAAGGAAATTCACTTGTCCTCCATAAATCTGCCTGTTAAATCCAGTAACCTGATGGCTGTATGGAGACATCAGGGACAGAAAAGGGCTGAAAGAGAGGGGTGTTTCCCTTGAGTCCAGCCAGTGGGCTTCCCATGGGCAACTGAGTGCCTCCTGTGAGAACCAGATGCTAGATGAGAGGCTGTTTGGCTGATCTAGCAGGAATGCTTTTCTGTCACTAGAATCCAAAAGAGGGTATATACAATTGTGTTTGGGAATTGTTTGTTCCAATGGAGTTGGGGCTGAGTTGAAGAGCTCCAGAAGTTGAAGGAAGTTTGCGAGGCCTGCTGAACGTATCAGATGTGCCCTGGGGTATAAAGACAACCCCAACCTAGCTTCATTCTAGAAAGCATATAATATGCCAGCTTTGGAGCAATCAGGAAGGAGGAATGATTTTTCTGGGTTTTCCTCCATTTTTGTTCACCTGGTGACTACTGACTCTCTGCAAATGATCCAAGGAGGCTGATTTTCTTTTTCCTTGTCTTTATTTTTAATTATTATTTTTGGAGGAGGAATGCTTCTGGTCCTCAGGATCCGAGGTGAAATGTCATCTGAGATCTGGATGCAACACGTTTGGAAGCACAGTATCCAGGGTGTCCCAGGGACTTTGGAAATGATGATACTGAAGGGTGCTCTATCGTGGGATGGGTCCAGTGGGCTGTTTGACGTAAAGCACTCCTGCAGATTTATTTTTCCTTAGGTGCTACTGCACAAAGCAGATATGGTGGGGGTCCCAAAACTCTGGGAATGTGATGCCATTTATGGAATATCAGGAGGCCTCCAATTGAGTAAAGAGCAGTGACTCGGTAACTTAACACATCCAGTCAGAATAAAATGCAGGGGGCTTTATTGCAGTTGGGAACTCCTGCTGTAGTGCCTGCTGAGAATGGTGCATTCGTGCTGAGCTTTCTGTTGGTTGAGCACTTTGGAGTTCCCACAGGAAAGGAAACTTGGCTGGTTGGAGGTCCCAGTGATTTGGCAGCTGTAAAAATAATAAAACCACAGAGAAATGTAGGTGTGTCTTCCCATTGCTCTGGTGTGTAGTGCTTCTTCCCTTGGGCTAAGCCATAGTTTTCCTAACCAAAGCGGGGGGAGGGGCAGGTGCTAGTAAGCGATTGGATTCACGCCACAAACTAGGCTAGGGTAAAACGGGGTTAGGTGGCTTGTGATCAGCATATGATGGCAACCCACCCATTGATTTCCAATGTTGTCCAAATTGGACCATCACATAGTACACATGGTTTATTTGTTTGGGCATTACATTATCTGAACACAGCAACTGTATTTGGCAACCAAATTATTCAGGAATAATATTTCCTCCTATAATCTTTGAAGGCTCCTGTGTCAGTGTCTATGCAACAGTGCTAGTCTTGGATTAAGGGCTGCTAAAGTTTTCTCTTGCAGGACCCCTGTCTCTTTAATATACAGTGTCTTGCAAAAATCTACTTGGTGAAGCTTTCTCCTCTCCCTTCATCTTCCTGTGAAGAAAATATGTGTGCGGTCAAGCAAGGCCCCCCAATAGAAACCATACTATTTGTCTTCAGAAACTCCTTGCTAACAGAGATGGGATAAGATGAGATCCTCATTCGCCCCATATTCCTGAAGGGAATGTTTTGTCGCAATAGCTGTACTCTTCCACAGGCTTTTTGTCCTTTAAATAAGATGAAAAGAGGGAAGTCCCTTCCCCAAAGATAACGTAATTTCTGCACACGCTCCTTTTCTGACTAAGTGAAATCCCTACAGCCCAGTTTCTCCGTATTGCAGTTCCCCATGCTCCCACTGAATGGTGCAAGCAGCCCTTTCATCTTATCCCTGAAGCCCAAACAGTGTAGAGACACTTACCTAGGGACTGTTTTTTAGATCCTGGTGAGCTATGCCCAGTGCCCGCAGGCAGGAATGGTATGCCTCCAGCAGCTCCTTGCATGCCCCTTCTCCCTTTTCTTTAACACTGCAAAGGTAAACAAGTAGTGAAGAAACTAGCAATCTTGCTCGTTTCCCTTACAACTGAATGCCTAGCATGGAAACCTGGAGTTCTCAAAGCTCTCCCTGCAACCCTCTGGGTTGTCGCACCCCGGCCACACCACTTGCTTTGGTGGTTTCCACTACCCCAAGGCAGGCACAACCACCAACTTTAAAATAATGAAGTCCTTTATTGCATCTTCCCAGATTTTCTCCAATAAGATCTGTTCTGCTCCTGTTACAGGTCTTGCTCAGTGGCACGAGGATTATAACCCTTGCTTGACATGCGGAATGTCCTCAATTTGAAACGCACCAGTTTTTTAAAATAACTTTTCCCCCCTCCCTGAGCTACCTACTTTTCTGCTAAGCTATAAATGCATGCATGCATGCATGCACGCACGCACGCGCACACCGTTTCATCATTTTTCTAGCCACTTGAGACAGAAGGGTTTTCAAACTCATCTCCAAATAGCCCATATGAGTGAGCAGTTGTGTAGTGAGAAGAATCACATTTGAACGGAAACCAGAGGGAGAAAGGATGACTTATGTTTTGGTTTTTGGCTTGGTGATTTATGTCCCATTGCAGAAAAGAGGAATGTGTATATTATGTATTTAATATACATAAATTAAATGTCCAGTCCAGTCCTTTCAGAAGATGTGAATGCCTTTTAGAACCCAAGGAATTTTTTCTGTGAAATGGGACTGAAACTGATTCTGGAACACCAGAACTCAGATCACACATGGCTCTAGGTCAGGAAGCGTAATTTTTGTGTGTGTGTTGCAGGCTGCACTCTGATGGCAAGCTGGAAATAGGGAGAGGCACATTTTTTTAAAAAAAAGATAAGGCCCAGTCAAAAGCTAATTTTCATTATTTAAGTAACATATGATTAATCTGATTACCCTCCAATTATGGATAACCCCTCTCTTTATCACATTTAAATATTGCATTTCAAGTTTGCCTCCCTCTGTTTTAAGTCATGGTTTATATAAACTAGCATTGGCTGAATTCATTTTGTAGAACCATAAAGCTTGGTTTAGAAATCACAGTGGCTGGGTTCACGCCAAGGCAAAACCAAACAAATTACAATTTGATGGAAAGGCTGTTCTGGAGGATCCTATGTTTTCCCATCCAATGCCGTAAAGAGCAAAGGTGCCCCTTTACCAACTGAAGTAATTGGATGGTCTTAGTTCATATAGCACAGTGAACTTCAAGTTAGTCTATCAGCTGTGAGAACTTAGACCAAGTGTGTTTGCTGGTTGTTTCATGGATTAGAAATTTCAGTATATTAAGTAAGCTATGGTTAAATATGAACATAGCCATTGTCTCTGTGCCAAGAAAAACTTCAACTATTGGTTTCTGTGTGTAAAAGAGCAGAAGCAGGAGACTACAGTGTTCATTCCCTGCCTTTATACAACTTGAAAATTTTAAAGGTAGATGATTAACAGGATTAGTTGGGGTGATTTCACCTTCTTCCATCCACCTTTGTTGGAGGAGTTGCAGAATGTCACACATCCTCATTTTCTTAGTTTTACGCTCTCTCCTCGGTTCATCAGAGCATCATTTTATTTACCTTTTGAAGTTGGTCCCTCCTCTGAACTGGTTATTTTCCTGAGCACCAGGTGAGCTACATGCTAGATGTAACCCAGCATACTTTTTCCAGAACTATTTTAATTTTTGAGGTCTAGAGAGGGAAAAATACAAATAGGAGCTGCAACAAGGCATTGCGGTGTTGAACATTCCTTTTCAGGGTTCCAGCCAGCTGTGTCCTTATGTGCAATAATGCATTCAATTTCTCTTCCTTGATTTTCACCCTTTACTTTCTAACAATAAGCCAGCATTACTCTGTGGCCACTGAGAATATTCAGACCCCAATGGGCAGTGGCCAAATTTAAGGGCAAGCAACTTAATTTTTTAATGTAGTTTTAAAATAAGTTTTAAAAACAGTATGATTAACATTTTTTAAAAAAATTAGTTATTCATATGTGATATTATACATGAACTATATATTATATAAAAGATGATATAGTTTTGAGGAAAAAAACCTATTATATAACACACCAAATGGTGAAAAAGAAATCCTATGTTACCTAGACAGGAAAAAAAAAACGGGAAAAAGAAAAAGAAAAGAGAAAAAAAACTTCAAAGAGGATTAGGTAACTTTGTGCTTTTTAGATGTTTTGGACTTTGACTCTCATGGGATTGTGAGGTTCTATTTTCAAAATGTCTGCCCAGTATCAGCTTGCTTAGCCTGGTTTAAATTACTGGGGTAGAGGAGCTTCTGTGTCCTGAAAACAGTAAGGGGGAGTGGGTGGGCTGTAACAAATAGTCATCTTCTGTCCTCACGCAAGGTCATTCATGGTGATGGGAACACTGAGCCAAGTACTATGCAACATGGAAGCAAAACTCTTGTGTTGCTTTTGGCATTGACTGCATTCTTCCTTTCTGGCTCTGCAAAAATGCCCCAGGCCCGATTCCAGTCCATTTGAGTCCTGCTATTTCTCTGCCTCTCCCTGGTCTTTGTGTTCCTCATGCTTGTCGTTTTCCTGACTGAGCTATGGCTGGATACATCTCATATGAAAAGCCTCACAGCTGCAGTTGGAATCTAGAAAGTTATTCCATTCACAACCATTTATAAACAATGCAGAGGTGGTGCAGATGTCCTGTACCCAATACCTTATAGGTTTTGGGCTGCCATTCCCATCATGTCAAGCATACAAAGTATGTAATTTATGGTGTTTGTTGGGAGGGGGCAAATGGGAAGGTGGCAGAAGAGGAGAAGGCAGAAGCCAGTGAACTTCACATAGGCTGGGCTCATGTGTTGTCGATCTTGGTTTGTTGAATAAATTACTTTTGGCTGGATTCAGGCATAAACAGTACTTAACAAAACATAGTGGTCGGACTTCATGACATACCGTAATACCAAACCAAAGATCTCATTCTGATTGAGTCCAGCTTACACAAAGTGATCTACTCAGCTCAAATATCAAATGATTTTGCACCACAAAGCTACTACTCAAAACCTATATGTTAGTTGGAATAATAAATACCAGGAAGACACCCAAATTATGAGAATGGGATTACTCATCCAACACTTTGTTGCATATTTCCATTTTACAATATAATTGTCCCCCTCCACAAGCACTATGGTCCAGTTCACACAACATGATAGACTAAAAACCTAGTTTGTGGATCCCTGTGAACCCAGGCAATGGGGTTAATAGAGTTGTCCAGTTGCCTGGAATTAAATTTTGTTCTTATTTTTTATTTATGAAATGTATAAAGTTGCTTCAATCTTAAAAAGGCTAAGTGGCGCAGGAAAAGAAACATCAAGCTAATGCAAATGATAGAATGCGTAAAAAAATAGTAATCTAAAATGACATCGCATTATATTATGCTATCATTAATTCTACACATCTGGCACTGTTAACTCCCCACTGCTAAGTCCCAGTGGCTTCCAGAATAGCCGAGTCTTCACACGCTACTGACAGGCTGTGAAGAAGGCAACATCCTTGCCCTGAGGCAAGCTATTCCTTGCCTGTTTCTGATCCTTCTCTGGCTGTTCTTGCTAGGGACCTTCAGTAGGCATTCCCCATTCACTCAAGTTGAGTAGGCAGAATCTAAGATAGAGGGTCTCATAGATACCCAGACCCTGAGCCATATAGAACTTTATAGGTGGTATCTTGGCTTGCATTTGAAAACAAACCAGTAGCTAATGCAGTTCCTGGAGTGAAGCTGCTACATAGCAGTAACCAGGTTGTCCCATAATCACACTGGGTGCTGCATTTTATGCCAGTTGATGTTTCTGGGTAGTCAACCTCAGGTAAAGCAAATTATGGTAATCCATACAAGAGATGACAAAGGTGTGAGTGAACATCTTTGGTGTCACTTTGCTAGATAAGGCCACAATGGTGCACCAGTCAAAGTTGAGCAAAGATTGTCTTGGCTATGCCTCCACCTGATTTTCCTGCAAGAGCCATGAGTCTAGGAGGACCCTCAAATTGCAAGTCTGCTTTCCATGGGGAAACACCACCCTGTGGAGAGCCAAAAACATACAGCTCCAGAATCAGAAGGGTTCTGAATGAGTAACCATTCTGTCTTGCATGGGTTGACTCTGAGCTGGTTTCTCCCCATCCAGCTCCTGACAGCCTCTAGACTAAGTCAGGACTCCTTAATTGTTACCACCATATCTGTATTTTTTGAAGCTGCTCACCTTGGTGCTGGATATGCTGTTTGCCCTACTTAATTTTTCTTAAAAAAATAGTTTTTTGAAAATGAATGGGGTGGTAGCACACTGCAAAGCCAAGCATCACCCTAAGACATGCTTTGCATTTATAGCAGTGCTATATCTCTGAGTATTGTAGAGTTCTC